TTTGTGCCCATTGCCCCTTGTCCTGTCGCTGGGCACCACTGAAAAGAGTCTGGCCCCATCCTCCTGACACCCACCCTGGAGATATTTATAAACATTTATAAGGTCCCCTCGCAGCCTTCTCTTCTTCAGGCTGAACAAGCCCAGCTCCCTCAGCCTTTCTAGATGTAGAGGTCTTCTTACTGTAGTTTCAAATGTGTTCACAATAGGTAGCTCCTGTATATTATTCTTGTGATACCCACATAAGCTTGAGAAAATGTTGTTCCCTGTTTATGCATATACAAGGGAGATAAAATAATTTGCTAAGGCTCATATAGGAAGCCTGTGACTGAGCCTGGAATTTCTCATCATCCGAGGGGTAAATGTGGTGCCCATCACAAACATTCCATAACAGTTCACATTTTCTAGAACTTTTAATTCTAGAGATAATGCTGTACTTGGAATAGCATCTTCAGAGAACAGCCTGGACTTTTTTGTGGAGGGTTCATGCAAGGGTTGCCTAAGACCACTTGTGGTCTTTGGGGACAAGAAGGTAACAAAGCGCGCTGGGGACTGTTCAAGTAATGCCCTTGAACACCTTCCATACTTTTCTTTAAACTGATCCTGTCAGCTGAAATGTGCGATTTAAAAATACTGTACTCACAGGATTTCTACTGCATGTGCCAGTTACAGCTGTATATTCCATTTTTATTTTCCTTCAGAACCTTCCTACTCAATGGCAGGTAAATCTTCCAGGCTTGGAAGACCCTTGTAAGCCCCTGGCTGGGATTATACAGATGCACGTGGAACATGGTTTTTGTGAGCAATCTGTGCCTGAACTGCTGCCACTCTGAGGACTCTCACAGGAATATAGGAGAGGATGCTCCTGGGGAATGGTAGTGATTGATCAGACCTTCTCTTTCCACATCTTTCCTTTTTTTTTTTTTCCACTCAAAATTCGTCCATGTTGGGGGAAAATAGATTTTTCAAAAAATTTTAAGTTAGGAATGCTCGTGTCACATTTGTCACAAATGTGTCACACGCTTCCAAAGCTGAAGGTTGGATGCAGTGTACTTTGCAGACTCATATAAAAAATGAAAAAAAAAGTGGTTCATGCAAACAATGTAAAATGCTTTGGAATTGCCTAACTGTGCTTTCATGATTCTTTATCTCTGATGTAAATGCTTTAGCTCTAGAATAAAGAAGTCATGTGATTTATGAGAAATTTTAAGGTTAAAGTTAATCCTTTGGCAGGAAGGAACCACAGTTCTACAGCAGGACCAAGCTTACCTTGCAAATATGTGTCTGCCTTGTTCTTGAAATGTAGATTCCAACCTCCTTCCTCCCAGGTATCTTGTTCCCAAGTTCAGCTCCCCCTCTGATCTGGAAGTCCTCTCTAATTTAATCTGTGCTTTTTCTTGTTGTATACCAAATGAATGATACCTGTCAGTGTGAAAGAAGAATGCTTGCTGACCTCTTTGTAGCCACTTTCATAGTGGTCTCCTACAGATACATCTACAGCTGTTAATGTCAGCCAGAACAACATGGGGTTTTTTGCAACATGTGGAACGTTGTCTTGTACCCGGAAAACTATGCGTTCTGACCCTTTTGCATTTGTGCATTATATTTTTCTTCCTTTGTTCATGTAGTGCTTTGCATTTGTCTTTACTGAATGAAAAATGCATTTTGAACTACGGTAAACCCCCCAGCTCGCTCTTGCTTGTGTTCCTGGGGTTTCTTTCAGAGGAAACGAGGGGCGTCAGAAGGCTGCTCATACCCGGTCTTGTCCCAGCAAGAAGGGTATGCACTAGGCCTGGTGTTTGAAAAGTACTTTTGATCCCCCAAGTTTAGATAACTCTCTGGTGTGAGTGGCATTTACATCGCAGTTGAATCAGATGGACTGTTCAGCTCCGTTGTTTCCAAGCTGTAGTCCATGGAACAGTTGTTAGTTGTGGAGAGCTGGCTGGTTGCTCAGTGTTTGCTTTCCTTGTTTCCAGCTGCTCCAACACATTAAAAGAGTGTAAAAATACACTAAAGATTTCCTAATGTTCGGTCTCCATAAAAGCACCTGCTGTTCTTGGCATGGAAAGGTGAACGGCAGAAGTTTTTTCGTAACAACTTGAGCCATTGTCCACACTTTCACATAAAGTGTGCTGGTGGATACTTACGGCTACTTTTGAGTAAAATGAACCTTATAGTTAATGTGTTCCATAAATCTGAGAAACTTCCCCAAATGTCATCCATTTTAACAAGCGTTGGAAGCGGTTAAATGACTAACACAAATGTGCATGGCCTCCCTCGAGAATAATTGAAGCTGAAAGTTGTGCTGTACAGCTTTCACCAGATAGTTTTCCCTGTGCCGCAAGAAACAACTCAGTGATATGAAGGCCTTCAAGCAAAAACTGGGTAAATTGCCTCCATTTAGATAAAATAGTAAGAGGCTACAATTAGAGGGTAACTAGAGAAGAGAAGCACGCCTGAATTAGGAAACGTGAATTCTTTAATGTTCTGACAGTACACACTTGTTTAGCTAATTCTTGTCCTCCGTGGCAGAACTTTTAACATGTTTATAAAGTGGCTGGAAGATCTTAGAATGGGGAAACGCTGTGTGCATGTGAACTCATAAGCCAAGAATCCTGCACCATCTCCATCACAGGCAAAGAGCAACAGACTTTCTAACCTACTTTAGATTTTAAAGAATAGCTTGGAAAATGCATTTACATTTTGTGTTTTTGTCTCTCTGTTAATTTGTGGATTTTTTTTTTCCCCACAATAACTTTGGGAACAGGTACATTGCTTTGAAAATCAGTGTTTTGTAAGTAATTATTCTTATTTCATACTTTCTGTTGATTGCCATGTTATTCTGGATTCTCTAAGATGGAAAACATAATTGCTGTAGAGAGGAGATGAACAGAGTGACCCAATCGTAAATGTCAGCAAAAAAAAAAAAAAGAATAAAAAGCAATTAATTCCTTCAAAGGAGCATTTATTTTCCAAAGCTATATCAGGATGACAAGAACAAACTCATTCCATCTGGAAACAAATTCTTTTTCCAAATATATTTAATAAAAAGAAATTGCAGAGCAGTCTGCTGCTAGGCAGGGTTCATTTTGTCCAGACAAAACCCTGCAAAACTACTTAGCGGTAAGTTTTGAATCTTGGATTCGTGCATAGTGAAACTCGCTTTACTGCTCAGCGGGCCAATGCGAGTCTGAAGCACCACTTCAGTTTCACAGACCCAACGCAGGTCCTCGTTTGGCTTTTTGCTGCTCTGGTGCACTCCAGTGACTTTCACACATTTAGTTAACTAGAATACTGCGTGATAAAATCTCCATTTGGCCCCGCAGTAGAGAAGGAACAACCTTTCTAGGCAAGGAGACTGTTTCTGAGGAGAGGAAGAGCTCATCTTTTATTAGACTGGTTTCCATAGCTGGGAGGAATAGCTGAGCATGCAAGCCCTCCAGTTTCTTCCTACAGACTTGCACTTTTAGCTTCCGTAGATGATTTGGTTTAGCCTGTATTATCTTAAAAGTGTCAGGTGTCAGACTTCTGGCGCTTCAGTAATTAGGAGGTTGCCCTTTGCTATGTGTGAAATATAACAGCGCAATGGAACAGAATAAGAAACAAAAGAGCAAGGCATTGCCTGTGGGGTGCAATGTGTTTTGTTCAGCTGTGGGTGGAACATTAATTTACAGAGATATCTTGCTTCGGTGAGGTGGAGGGTGTATTTAGTAGTTCGGTGCTAAATAAGGTACAGGAGATTCTCTCTTCCTTCTTTTGCAGAACATGGTTAAATGCATTCCACTTTAAATTTCTGTTTATTAGGGTTATTAAAGAGATTCTATGGCACAGACTAAGACGAGTACACATTCTTAGACATGCATCAAGTCTTGTTTGAAATTCCTGCCATTTTAACTAAAATAATATCCTTGACAGTGTGTATATATAATACGTTTTTCTCTGCTAAAGATACTTTACTAAAAGCCTAGTAAAAACGAGACATCTACTGAACACATTAGTTAATTAAACATTTAGAGCTCAACCCGTGACAGACTGAAATCCAAAATAAAATATTTATCAGTCTCAGCATCAATGTCATTAGCATCCAGAATGCCACTGATTACTGTCCTGAGTAATTACAGTGTAATTACAGATTTTTGGCCTTGCACAGAAGGGTTTAGATGCTGTAATATATGAAGTGATGGTACCTGTTGTAAGTGATGATGAGTATGTTGGACCCTGGATAGGAAGAACTTTCCTGTATTTTTGTGTACATCTCTTTAACCTATTTCAATGCTGCAATCTTTTTTTTTTCAGGTCCAATTTTAAGCTTTTGGCTGTAAATGGGAAGCTGTATGCCATCGGTGGTCAATCCCTTTCCAATGTGGAGTGCTATAACCCGGAAAACGACTGGTGGAATTTCGTAGCATCCATGCCAAACCCTCTAGCAGAATTCTCAGCTTGTGAGTGCAAGGGCAAGATCTACGTTATTGGAGGATACACTACACGAGGTAGAAAGCTTGCTTTAACTTTTTTTTTTTAACCTGATTGCTTCCAAGGCCCAGATAATTTTCCTTTTCAGGACATCTTTTGAGCTGTTGTAGAAAGCTGCATAATACTCATTAAAACATGTAGCAGTAAATCACTGGTAGAAAATAATTAACAAACAAACAAAAAATCAGCTGTGTCTTACAGGCATCAGATCATTATTTTTTTCAGGGCCAACATGGACCTGGGGCTCTGTTCTTCTGATGGAACAAACTGATGGATGCTTCAGCTTAGCCCTTCGCTTTTTAGGTTTTGGTCATATGGCAGAAGGAGAAGTATCAACAGATACACTTTGCTTTTTGAATACGTGTGTTAGAATGTCAGAAGAAAAAATATAAAGAAAATATATGCCTGCATTTGTATTTCTCATATATTAATAGATGTCATGGTCCTTTCACTATAGCATTTCAGTGTTTCACAGGGAAATTCAAGTTATAGAGAAGATTTTCAGTTCTGAAATAACTTAATTGAATAATTAATCAAAAGCTTAAGCAGGAACCAACATTTTTAACTTTTTTTCTGTACCCTGTTTTCCAAAAGTACTGCAGAGAGAGAAGGGTTTAAAGTGGTATTCTCTCCTGACAATTACTTTACCAGTGGAAAAGCAAGCCACTTAAACAGAGCTCACATTTGTTCATTCCTTAAGCACATAGTGCCATTCTTTATGGGGAATATCATTTTCTCAGAGTTCTAGAAGTCAGGTTTTTTTCCTGTCAAAAGTGTAATATGTACCAGAATTTCCTAAATTTAAATTCCTGTCTCGAGGCCTTTGCCCACTTCATTTGACCACAGTTGTTTTAAACTTTTCTCCAAATAGAGAATAAAATTAGAAGAGAGATCAACTTTTACAGAGTACTGCCATCAAAGCTAAATTGACATTAGAACAAGCTGTCCCTTCTAGTCTCTGAGCAGATTTTAGCTCTGAACCATGACCAGGTGTACAAAAGACACACTTCCACCCCTCATAGTCCTTGTGGTAATGATAACCTTCAGAAGCATTTTGGCTGGTCCATTCTGACCTCGAACCTGGTGGCTTCACTGAGAAAAACAAAAGATAACAGAGCTCTTGTGCCCATACGGAGAGCCATGCTGTGGTGTGCTCTGCAGTGCCAGTCCTCTGGTCATGCCCAGAAAAGGGTCATTTGGGGTGTTTGTGCTCCCTGGTGTCTGGCACTAGAACTGAAGGATGTCTGGCACGCAACACTTGCTGTGCTGAGAAGTCAGACCCAAGGAGAAGCATACTTTGAGACAAGAGAGCAGAGAACAAGGAGCAGGAATAGAGACCAATGGGAAGACTTGTCTCTAGAGGCTGGAGTATAATTTTTTTGTCATTTTTATCTAGAGAAAGAAGAGGTAAGAAGAAAAATCTCTGACTTGGTTAATAGTGTTCCTAGATTGTGGGAGTGCCAGCTTTTCTCCTACCTCCCCTGCATTTTTCAAGTTCCTTTTCTGGTGCTTGTGCTGTGCTTTCTTCAGGCTGCCTACTCCTAGTGGCACGGATAGGAAGATCAGCATGCTGCTGGTGCAGATCCTGTTCCCTTAAAATTCATTAACAAAGTGCGTGTAGTCAGGATGGCTGCTCTGTGTCAAGCTCCGTGTTCAGTACTTACTACCTGTGGTTTCAGCTAAAGGAGGATAGTCAGTCAGTTGCCTCCTACTTCTTCCACACCTCAGGGGATTGCCATTGACTTCAGGCCACTGTCTTTCCTAGGTCTTTTCTTAAAAGCCATTTTTAATGGAAAAAGGGTAGCAAAACAGTATAAAGTTGTGATCAGTGGATAGCTGGCACATTTAGGCTTGTGTTTAAATCCAAGACCGTTCAGGACAGCAAATGCCTCTGCTTGTTATCAATGAAGATCCTTTCCTGAACGAAGGTCTAGAATCAGTTTTTCTGTGACACCTTGGCTTAGGACAGCTGTCAGCCTTAGAATTGCTGCAGTTACACTGGTGATCCACCTTCCAAGTTATGCAGATGTTGGAGAGTGTTAAGTCCTAACTATTTGAGAGATGCCGAGGTTCATTTGCTATTTCACTACATTCACTACATAAAACACATGCAGCAATTAATATGGCCTAACTATTTGAGAGATGCTGAGGTTCATTTGCTATTTCACTACATTCGCTACATAAAACACATGCAGCAATTAATATGTAAATTTTTATTTTATTGTATTGTATTGTATTTCTGCATATATCTCCGTTTTGGTAGGTTTTCTGGGCTATTTTTTTGATCTGTGTAGAGCTTTATCCTGAGACCATACTTTCCAAAAGATGATAGGATCTGGGATTTCCCACTGTAAATTATAACGGCACTTCTTGAATAAAGACCCTCCTTCCAGTTCTCAGCTCTCACTTGTGAACCTAGATCCCAATAGTAACTCTATGTCAGGCACTATAGTGTTCATGTTTTGTGTTGTGCTTTTTTTTTGCTTCAGTGGATATAAAAGACCCGGTCTCTGGACTGAGCAAATGAGGGCCATATCACAATAGACTTGCATTTCACGTGCCCCCTTTCAAACCATAGCACTTTTTGCCTGGGAAGGTTACTGCTATACATAGACATAGAGGGAAAAATCCCAATTAAGTTTCTGTTAATGAGTGAGAGAACGATACATTGTCTGTAGACAAAGATCATCTATATGTAGAGCTTTGATCAGCAATTTCATAGAACATTGCCGTGATATTTTCCCTCTTTTTTTCCTTTATTTAAAGCGGATTAGGGGTTCAGGAAGGCAATGTAAAGTAATAAACAATGACTGAAAATCAGCAGAGTGCAAGCAAATGCTATAGCTGCACCTCCCTAATCATGCTGCTAATGCACTTCATTCATGACAATCCATTTCTATTTATGGCTATTTATACCTGTGCCCTTACATAACTTGTCAGTATGTCACCATCTGCTATTCCACTTGGGATCTCATCTGGAGATCATCATGCAGGATAGACTTGTAATACGGAGCAGATTTTATTAAAAGGCCAGACTGGAGTCTGCAAACCTGTTGCCGCTTGTCACTTGAGTTTGGATTTAAGCTCAGGTCTCCGGAGACTGAAACTAAATTTACTAGCTAACAAGTCCTGTGCATTCTGTGTTAATCTAGTGAAGCCTTAGACACAGCCAGGGTCTCCAGCTCACCATCAATCAAGGCAGTATGGTAACGCTTTAATAGAATAACAGTACTGCAAACACATGCATCCACTGAATTGTTCTGGAAGTATAAATACGGCTTCAGCTTTTTTCTGTGCCTCTGTCTGATGCTGGAACGTGGAGTTCGTGGTTCTTAAATGATTCTGACAATGTGTATTTCTCTCTTTATGAGGTACTGAGCATGTGCCCTTAGGTCATCCATGCCACTTGCTGAAATTTAACTAGCTTTATGAATTTTATTCCATAAAACTTTGATTTACGGAATGAAATACAAGGTATCGAAGTTGAGCTTGGGTGATAAATCATCATGTGACAGCCATTAATGAAGCATACTGTGTTCATGGTAATTTAATTCATCTGTGATCGCTGTGGGAGAGCAGAATATTGCTCCATTTCCCTTTCTATAAACATTTCTTACGTGTCAATCAGAGACAAAATTAAAAGCCTAAATTAAAAGGTCGGGATTATTCTGGTAAAATCTGCCTCCCCAGACTGTTTACATCATGTAATGTGCCAGAAGCAGCTTAGTTTTCCCCTCTCCAAAGGAACAGAGTGTTCAAACTTTATTGTCAAGGACAAAGACTTGCAGTTCTCAGTAATCACTATTTCTTCCTTGGTCTGCTATGCTTTTGCACTGTAATGCGTTGGCAGTCTGTAATAATGGCTGATACAGTTTGTAAGGAGGAAGAATCCTCCTCCATGAGTACCTTCTAATATGTTTATTTATTTGTAAATATCTCTCCTCTGTTTCAGATAGGAATATGAACATTTTGCAGTACTGTCCCACTTCTGATTCCTGGACCAACTTTGAACTTTGTGATGTCCATGTTCGCAAACAACAGATGCTCTCTGTTGAAGAAACAATATATCTGGTAGGGGGTTGTATTCATGAACTTGGACCAAACCAAAAATCCGGCCAAAGTGAGGACGTGTTAACTGTGCAGTCTTACAACATTGCTACCAAAGAATGGCTCTACCTCAAAGAGAACACATCAAAATCGGGTCTTAACTTGACTTGCACTCTCCACAATGATGGAGTCTATATATTGAGTAGGGATATTACTTTATCTACAAGCTTGGAGCATCGTGTTTTTCTTAAGTATAATATATTTACGGACAGTTGGGAGTCACTAAGACGCTTTCCAGCCTTTGGACAAAACATGCTGATCTGTTCTATGTATTTGCCTGATGTGCGAGAAGTGTAACAGCATCAGGTTTTTCTTTTCAGGTCATTAATCATTCTTGGAAGAAATATTGCTCCCTCTAAATAATTCCAGTTTCAGAATGTAATGTGGTTGCATAAAGTAGGCATAAAATACTGACTCTGTTCTTTAAAAAAGTTGCAAAATCCAATATTAAGAGAAATGGTTCCAGAAACAGTTTTAGAATTTCAGTTTGAAAATTGTATTGGTTTCAATTTAAATTTTTCCAGGTGTTGTTTGCAAATTTAAACATAAAATTGTTGTGTGGGTAATTGATAAAGGAATTCCAAAGGCAAAACTGAGTAGTCTAATTTTATTCTCCATCTTAATAGACAGTATAAAATACAAGCAAGGACTAAACATGATAAAAGTGGAAATAATTCAATAAAGTAAATAAGTTGTCAAAGGAAAATTACAGAGAGAATAATTTCTTTAAAATGCAGTTTTTACTCAAACTGTGTCCTTTCAAATACACAATGTTTAAAATTGTTTATACTATCACATTTTAATTTCTTTTATGGTAACAAGTGAGATTCTCAAAGGTGCCAGCAGTTGGGGGACCATCAGGAAATAAGAACTTCTCCTGAATTATTTGTAATGAAATGCTTTGCTAGGGACTGAGAAGAATTACCTAGAGGCTTGTGGTTGCTCGTTGGGTACTAGGTGCTCCTTTAATGGAAATTGGCAGCATTTATTGCTACCATTAAGATAGAGGTAAAAGGACTGTAAATTTGAATAGGGAAGTCTACTCATCTTCAGAAAGGTTTTAAGTTTTAGTTACCTTACTGTATTCTGTAGTACTGAGTGTTAAAGATCAAATTATAGTTGGCAACAAGCTGCATGTTAGGAAAATGTGCGTAAGGACTTGTGGTGGTGATTCTGCACCAGGTGCATCCTGCTTGCTAACAGTCATCCAAGACTTCCACCACTTGGTATGGAAGGGTTGATTCGTGTAAATGACTTCTTGCCAACACCACCCATAGCAGGTGCACATGAATGTTGGCTCTTCCTTGTGTTACCAGGAGCTTGATAGAGATTACCTAAAGTTTGCCACCCAAAGTTGTTAGTTTCTACAAAGAGCACGGTAAAATGGTCAGCATGAATACTCCTTTGCGGGGATTCAGGAGTAGATACTCTAGGAGCTTCTCCCAGTTCCTGCCTATTGCCTGAGAGAATTATAATTATGATTGGCCCCTTTTCTTTCTGTAACTGACAAGTCCATAAGCGTCTTCTGAAGGCACCTGCCCAGGTGTGGAATGTGTGTTCTCATGGCAGGAAAAGGAGAAGGTCTTGGTCACCATGGGAAGGTTTCACTGCTGCTGTCTTTAGGGAAGAGATAACCAGATTAGACATGTGCTGAACACATTGTAGGGGTACTGGTTCTGCACCAGCTATTTCTCCACGTGAGAAGACAAGAGATGTAATTCATGTGAACAGGTTCCTAATATGTGGAGTTGTCTTCTTTTTTTTTAACTTGAAGTTTGCCACCCAAAGTTGTTTCTACAAAGAGCATGGTAAGATGGTCAGCATGAGTACTCCTTTGCGGGGATTCAGGAGTAGATAAAAGTTTGCCACCCAAAGTTGTTAGTTTCTACAAAGAGCACGGTAAAATGGTCAGCATGAATACTCCTTTGCGGGGATTCAGGAGTAGATACTCTAGGAGCTTCTCCCAGTTCCTGCCTATTGCCTGAGAGAATTATAATTATGATTGGCCCCTTTTCTTTCTGTAACTGACAAGTCCATAAGCGTCTTCTGAAGGCACCTGCCCAGGTGTGGAATGTGTGTTCTCATGGCAGGAAAAGGAGAAGGTCTTGGTCACCATGGGAAGGTTTCACTGCTGCTGTCTTTAGGGAAGAGATAACCAGATTAGACATGTGCTGAACACATTGTAGGGGTACTGGTTCTGCACCAGCTATTTCTCCACGTGAGAAGACAAGAGATGTAATTCATGTGAACAGGTTCCTAATATGTGGAGTTGTCTTCTTTTTTTTTAACTTGTAATTCAGGAATCTGAATCTTGTTTTGAAGATAGGTGCCTGTTCTACAGCGAAGAAGGTGGCAGCAATGGTTCCCTCAGGGCTCTTTTAACTCCCTGCTTCTTCATGGATTTCCATGAAGTCAGTGTTGACTATCAGACTTGAAGTGCCTTGACAATTACCTCTCAGAAATTTCAGTGCTAAGGTGTATAATTTTGGTGCTTCTGATCATGGATAGCAATACAAACAGAAATGCCAGGAAACGCTTTGGTCCAGAACGAGGGCATTTGAGTTTGACCATTTTCAGGATATAAGTATTTTGGATATTCGAGATTTATCTTTTGGGTGGAATTTTTGCAACCTGGCAGAGTATATTACACTTAAGCCCAAACTACTGTCTACCATTCAGCTGTATGCACAAATTTAATGAGTTAAGCCTGTGATTATTCATTTGAAAACAGAATATGCTGAGCAGCTGCTGTGTTCTGACAGTAGTGTCAGACCAAGCAATGGCTCTGCTGCAATGAGGAAGTAAGACGACTTTCATAAGATTCTTCTTTCAGAAGTGTTTTAGAATAAATATGAACAGTGTGTCAGTGTCTGGTGATGAATTATCTCAATCACATTATTTCACCAGTGTTCCTTCATTTCTTTTCAGTTCCAGATTCAGTACCCTACAGTCATCCACAAATCAACTCAGATCCACACTGGTGGAGGGAGTCACATCTGAGTTGTGGCATTCTCTTGTCTAGCAAATCAACTGTGAAAATCCATCAGCCCCAGATTTGCAGTGTAGTATATCTAATCAAGTACTTTCAAATCCAGGCATTTCTTAGTGCAGTCATCATTCCAAAAGCTATAACATCACCTTTTAGGTGTGATCACTCTTTTTCACGTGAGACCTTTCCATACTGGGTTTACCTACATGTTGGTTTCAGCTTCCAGTGATCAAGTGGAAAATCTGGAGAACCGGCTCAAAAGTAGAAGAGAAAGACAGGTCAGACTGCAAATCATCAGACTCTTGTCAATCCATGGTGTAAATTCCTCATAAACTGACATCTAACAGTACTACAATCACAAATCAAAACTGGTGTTGAATTTAGTGGTAGCACCAGACTGTAATACTCTAAATGAACTGTATTAGTACAGGCTGAAATAATTATATATTTTTTTAGACAAAATTCATGACAGAAAATTACGCAATGTGGGTGGCCCCCATACCTCAGGAAAAAAACCCATACGCTGTAATGACTGTCCCCTGCCCTTTTCATTTTTTTTTCTATTACTTTAATGTTTCACATAAGGCACTGTTGGACAGCTTCTACCCTTTGGGGCAAGGAAGATGGGTGAGAGTCACTAACACAGCATAATTAAAAAACTACTTTTTAGCTCGTGGAAAAATTGTTCAGTGGTTCAGTGCGCTCTCTTTTCTCTGGTGGTGGGAGGAAAAAGGTCCTTAACGTAAGGACAAGTAAACTTCTTTTGAATGACAACAATAGAAGTGTAGACCAAGGGGCCTTGCGGTCTGATCAGCTGGAAATTCCTGTGTTACCCTGATGTTGCTTCTAACTTACTGTGTGGGCTTGGAGAGATCACTCCACCTTCTCGCATCTTCATCCCCAAATGTAACACGTGAGTAGGAATGTTCGTCATGTGGGAACACAATGGTATGTCTGCTGTGCATCTTCATCCCCAAAAGTAACACGTGAGTAGGAATGTTCATCATGTGGGAACACAATGGTATGTCTGCTGTAGTAGCATAGTGTTTAGAAGACACCTTGAGCATGTGAAGTAGTATGCATATTCTCATTGTTGTAACTGTTTACTTGGTTATTACAACTGCGTCATGGCAAGAGGCAGCATAGAAGGCAGCCAGTAATCTCATTTTGGTCTCTGCTAATTACCTTTGTTTTGAACTGATGGCTATTTCTAGTCTGTTTCTTTCTTTCTTTTTTTTCCAGGACCTAATAGGCTGTAACTCATCTAAGTTTCTTAGTGTTCTCAAATCTGTATCCAAATTCAAAACTGCTGATTTCCTGCTGTGTCTGGGTTATCCAGGGCTTATGTATCCACTATTCATCTTCGCTGTCTCGTGGACCAATTCCACTTGATACCAACCAGCAAAAGCTGACTGTGGTAGAGGATGATCCCAAGTCAAAAGAAAGAACAACAGAGAGAACTGCCTCCAAAGTCCCGAGGGAGGAGTAAATGGAGAACTCTGGGACCTTTAGTCTCTGCTCATAAAACAGAGAAGCATTGAAGAAGGTTGCTCACATCAAGGCTAAGAGGGAACATAATAGTTTCTTCCTTTCTGGGAACGTTTTGTGGTTTTTGATGTGAAATAAGAGTTGCGTGGGGCTTAAGTTTAATCTCCCTGGTCTGTTTCCATAGGTTTCCCTTTCTGCTCTGTCAGTTGACCTTTCTTGGGCTTAATATCTGTGTTTTTCAATCTGAGGATTTTGCCTTTCTACATCAGTGTCCAGCTTGTTTTGCTGAAATTATATGGTAGTAGTCTATTGGTCTTTTCTATTTGTTAGTCTGCTTTTCACACTAATCTGTGTCTATAAATCACTGTGATGAAAAAGTAATTTGTAATTCAGGTACAGCCTCTTCATTTATTCAATTTTCGGCTCTTGGAAGCCTCCAAATACCTCCAAAGCTACAAATGTTTTGTTTCATGTAATCCTCATTTTAGTGAGAAACGATGCTACAGACATTCAGTTCGTGGAAATGGATCTGCGTCAGTAATGTGACAGAGAGCGGAAGGCACAGAGTGTAATGAAATC